TCACAGTGACACTCGCTCACTGCACACTCCTCCCAGTCTATTTCACAATGACACTCGCTCACTGCACAGTCTTCCCAGCCTGTTTCAAAGTGACACTTCCTGCACATTCCTCCCAGCCTGCTTCACAATGACACTTGCTGCACATTCCTCCCAGCCTGCTTCACAGTGACACTTGCTGCACATTCCTCCCAGCCTGCATCACAGTGATGCTGATTTGCTGCACACTCCTCTCAGTCTACTTCACTTACTTGCTACATTTGCCTCTTAATCAATGGTGCTTAAGGATTAAATTTTGAGGATGTGGTGCATAGACTAGACTTTGAGGATAGCAGATTAAAAGGATGAACGTTTTATGAGTGCATGAAAGATTGTTAAACGGAGGAACCTAAGCTTTTCCAAGGCAATGTCATTGAAGTATTTCAAACAAAAACAGTATGCTTGTATGACACTTTATTGCAATAAGCAGAGGCTTAGACAGGCAGCGTGTAATGCTGAGGAGCAATGAATAGACATAGGGGTGTACATTTCGCTGTCGTGGAAATCAGAAATAATTTTTTTCAAAAGGCTACTGAGGCTTGCTCAATTAAAAAATGTTGTAAGTGAGATGGATTTTTGTTAAGAGCATTATGGGGTTGAATGACCAACTTAAGTTCCCAAGCTTCAGTACAGTGAAGATTCTCATTGACATTATCAACTGCTTTAAACTATCTATCTGTCCACGTAAATATTCTAGGCAGAACTCCCTTGACTACAGTGATTACTTTTGAGGTACCAGTTGCGGTAAATGGTTTTAAATGCTGTAATTTCTAACCTGGAAGTCAGCAAATGTAACTGCTATTCAAGATATGAAAGAGACAGGAAACATAGACTAATTAGCCTGACATCAATCATGAAATAAGTACTGGAATCTATTTTTAAGAAAGTCTGAATAATTCACTTCGCAAAGCATAACATGATTAGAAAAAGTAACATGGTTTTAATGAAAGGGAGATCCTGTTTTCAAACTTACTAGTGCTTTTGAGAGCTAGGTAAAGTGAAACCACTGGATGCAGTATACTTCAATTTCTAAAAAGTCATCAATTAACTGCCTCACAAAAGGTGGTAAAGGCTCAAGGAGTTGGGGGTAATACATTAGCCTGGACAGAAGATTACGTAACAGAAGAAAAAGAGAGTAGGGATAAATGAGGTTTTTTAAGTTGGCAAGCTGTGACTAGTGGAGTGCCACTAGGATCAGTGCTGGGGTTCAGGTTATTTACAATCACATCAATGATTTAAACGCAGGCACACAGTGTAATTTATTAGGATTGCACATGACACAAGGCTATGTGGGAAGGTAATCTGTGAGGAGAAGAATGGAAGCTGCAAAGAGTTTAAGTTAGTGGGCAAAAAGGCAGCAGATGGTCCAAAGTGGAGAAGTATGAGGTTATTTTCTTTTATTGTAAGATAGGAAAACATCACTTCTTTTACAAAAAAAAATCTGACCTGCAGGCCTGACCATGGCCCAATCCCACTGACTGCAATGACTCAGAATGTGAGGTGAGTAGAAGATCCAAATCCTGACTGGCCAACCTGGAAGCAGATGATGCCCTTCACTGACTGTGATAGTCCCCTCTCACTGGCCGAAGTCACCACTTAGGAGTTTCACACATAGCCATATGGTTGAAGTAAATACAGTGTGTTTTCCATGTAAACTGCTGTCACATGTTGCAGGGATGAAGTTGCTGTAGCATGGAGGTGTACAGCGACATGTGCACCCCCACGAATGTTCGGTGCGTCCTACCGTTTCAAGCTGCCTGCCTCTCCCTCTGCACATTGCCACAAGTGTAAAGCCAGTCACAGAGCCTGGCAGACAATAATTGATACTGAAGAACCTGTGTGCTAAGAAAGCAATACAAGCCTCACAGAGGCTGATAGCCTGTACATCCATGCTGAAGTCAGTAATTATGCACTAAAAAAGCAATTGAAAAAGCTGGCAGCCTCCATGTTAGCTCAAAGTCAGTGAGTGCAAGGAAAGTAAGAGCTATAAGATGCAGATATATATGTGAGCACAAACGCAGCCAGTGTGGATGCACAAGATACATGCATCTGCTTGCACTTTAAGTGATCTGGCAGAAACATGTGAGGCATCAGCATCCCTGAGCTTTCAAGTAAATTGTTGAAGGGCTGAAGTGGTGTCTCGAGTTAGTTCGGCAACAGACACTGTATTTCTCACCGTATTTTCCCATCTTTCTTGTCATTACTCAACCACACAAGGAAGGAAAAATTCCATGCATTATTCATTCTTTTCTTTTTCCAACTGTTTGATGGACATTGTTTATCGTGCAGTTTTCAGTTCTGACAAATGTTCATTTTCCTAGACATCACTTTTCTTCTCCATTTTAGTTGCTGATAAATCTGCTGATGTGTTTTGTTTTTGTGTCTATTTCTAATCATGAAAAGAGCATGCTTATGACACAAAAATAAACTTACAAAAGCAACTAAACAGTATAATGCCCTTCTCTTGTTGGAAAATTTATTTTTTTTTTGCTGAGTGTTTTCAGCACTTTTTGATTTTTGTAATGAATAATTCTACTCAGATTCACACCATAATGATTTAATTCAAGACTTGAATTTTTCTTTCCCAACAGCTTTCTAGCCTTAGCTAATTCAAAGAATCTGCACAACTTGTTTGAGCATTATGTAGTTACTGATCCTCAAATTTCCAAATTCAGTATTTTTTCAAATGTTTTCTATTTAAAATATTGCATAACACTGCAGAAAAAAGTGAAATGTAAAAGCACAGGTTGGGGCGGATTAAATTTTCATTTGGATTGAGTAAGAGGAAGGAAGCTTTGCTTGCCACGTTTGTGTTGTTGGGAAATTGTAATGGGGCTACGTCTCAGACCAGCTCACTTACTGAAATCTAACCCAGCAACACACACTGAAATTCTAGCCTGGTGTACTTACAGTGCGGTAGATAAAAACTCTGAGGAAATTTCCTCCTAATGTCTCCAGCCTTTGTCCACTGTACAACTCATTGAGGACCACTTTCAGTTTCAAAATGTGGTTTCTCAGGATTAGTTTCAGTAATCGCTGATCAAGTCCCATAATATCAGCTGTCAAGATAGAAAAGGGAAAGATAAATTCAGAGTTGAATAGTCTCTGTCGCCATGAGAACATTATGTTGAAGGAAGAGATGCCACTTGATTACACTTTTAAATTAAATTGTTATTCCTTATTACTGTTAATCCAATATCTTTGACAGTTTGTGAGGATATTTTTGCCTAAATAGAGGTTACATGGATACATTTGAGAAACTGGTTATCACGCATGTCTACACCTACATTAAAGTTAGTCATGAAACTGGAATCCATAGTGATATTATCTGCTAGCATGATTCCTTTAAATTGTCAGATTCTAATTGTTCAAATCAATCAAGGAGATTAAATGTACAAGTATTGCTGGTGATCTTTCAGGAATCATTAGAGTCAGAGAGGATCCCAGAGGACTGGAAAATGGCCAATGTAACACCCCTCTTTACAAAGGGAGGGAAGCAGAAAACAGGAAACTATAGGCCAGTTAGCCTGACCTCAGTTGTTGGTAAGATTTTAGAGTCCATTATTAAGGATGAGATTGCAGAATATTTGGAAGTTCATGGTAGCTCTGTTAGAATTCTTTGAGGAGTTAATGAGCAAGTTAGGCAAAGGAGAGCCGGTGGACATGATCAATTCGGATTTCCAGAAGGCCTTTGACAAGAGCGACTAGACCCACAGAGTAAAGGACGACCCTTCGGAACTGAGATGAGGAGGAACTTCTTCAGCCAGAGGGAGATGATTCTGTGGAACTTGTTGCTATATAGGGCTGTGGAGACTAAATCATTGAGCGTATTTAAGACAGCGATAGATAGGTTCTTGATGGGTAAGAGAGAAAGCAGGAGAATAGGATTGTGAAACATATCAGCCATGATCAAATGGCGGAACAGACGTGATGGGCCGAATGGCCTAATTCTGCTCCTAGCATTGGCAAAAGGTAATTGAACAGGTCATCAAAATATCAAAAAATAAGAAAGCTATCAACTGGGGGTCTTTTTGATGCTGATATTCTTTTTAAAAACAGTATTGCCGATGAAATTTCCCCTCTTTCTCTAATCTTACAATGGACAATGCAGCTTAAACAAAAAAAAAGTGATAGGTTAATAATGGGAGCAGATTCCTGTGCAGATAATGCACACAGGAAGTTGAAATCAAACGGTATGTCTAAATTAGTGATATGAAGCTCTCTTGTTGTGCAATGGTAGTGTTCCTACCTCTAGACCAGAAGGCTCAGGTTCAAGCCCCATCTGCTCCAGAAGTGTGTAATAACAGCTCTGAATGTGTTGATTATGAAAAAAAAAGTGATTTGAGAGCATCCCTCACCACTTTGTCCAGAGGCATTAACCAGGCAGGGTGTAGACAAAGTATAGTGCACCTGACACAGTCCACATCTGCCTGATATTGCAATTTTAAGATGTTAACAGAGTTGCCATTTCCCATAACTAGAATGAGGGGCAGAAAGAGGAGTAAGAGAATCTATTAATGCACCAATAACCATTGATCTGTAACTGGTGGAACTGGCTTGTGGGACCCACTGGCTAATGCTGCTCTTAATCATTATGTTTCTATGTCATGAACCCCTTGTGTTTGTTTGTCCAAAAAACATTTGAAAGGACTTCAAAAGAACCAAAGCGTCCCTGTTATGAGACATTGATTTGCATTGTACAATAAACATTCTTTACCAACTAAGAAATACTAACAATGGGCTTTCATTTTGAACACAGCTCCAGTATCAACAAGCAACAGAAGACACAAATTGTGTCACAGTTTAGAGTGTAAGAGGAACAATTCAGTATAGTGAATGAGAATACAATGCACCTATACCATTGCCTTAAGCAATTGGCTGACAGTCAGAGGATGATAAATCATTTGGGTTGGTGAATGGGGGCCAGAGACTCTTAAAGACCTCCTCCTAATGCCGCTATTGTTTCAGTAGGTGGGTGGGGGGCACTGCCTAATCCATGGAGTGACCTACACTCAGTGTCTTGGCTGCAGAAGGGTTTCTTCTTGCTTAGGCATCCTGAGCATGACAGATGCTCTTCCTGACAGTATCACTGCTGCTACTTGCTCTAACAGCTGGCCTCACAATGTGTCCTTTTCAAATCCTCTCACTGATGCCTGCCTGATTGGCCTCAGTGACGCTGCTCCGATTCACTTTTGAATCCTACTGTCATACTGCTCCTTGTGATGGACAGGCTACACACCCTGCAGTTCTCACTACTCCCAATGGCACTAGAGTGCTGCTCCCTTTCTGATTAGCCAGCAGTTCACTTAACCCATGGTGGATGCAGAATGTGGGTAGGGATAGTTCCTTCATTAATGAAGTGATTAAAACTATCCTGATAGGAGACTGTCTTCAGAAGTGAACAATTCTATCAGCGTTCAAATGACAGAAGCAAGCAATACAACGGCCTGAAAGTTAACATCCCCAATATTCTTGTACAATTGATTAACATGCCGAGACCAAACTCCTTTGTCTGGTGTTCTAAATGAGGCAGCAAACCGTTTAGAACAGCCAGCTTAAATTCCTTACAAAATCAAAACCAGCGTGTTGCGTTAAATATTTGACAGAGGTGATTTACCATTGAAAGCGTCATTCATGGGAGCAAGGATTGTGTACTCTCTATTTTCACTGAGATCAGAAGAAACTCCAGTTTCCTTCACTAAGTCGTAAAATGTGGTCTGTTTGCCACTCGTCAGCTCCAAGACCTGCATAGCTTTAAATGCAATAAGAAAAAGGCATTAGTGTTTGTACAGTTTATCAGATTTCCTATAATGGGCTTGTATTAAATCAGTCATTCAACTCAATTCAGCTCTCTAAACAATCGTCCCCATTTCAGTTGACCAGTAATGCCATGATTCCAATGACAAATGTTGTTAAGAGAACCAAGAAAAGAAACAATGAAAGTCCTGATCATCATTTTTCCTCCTCTCTGGTCACAGGCATGGTACTGCAGGACTGAATGACTGCTAAAATTCCACCATTGTTTAAAAGGAGTGAAATGGATAGGCTGGTCAGACTCACCTTTGTGGGGCGGGGGAAAATAGGCTCTGAGGAAATAATATCAATCATCACTTAGATAGGCAGCAATTAATCGGGCTCAATCAGCACAGAATTGTAAAAAAAAGGTTGGGTCTGAATAATTTAATTGAATTCTTTCAGCAGCTAACAAGGAAGGTCTACGAGGATAGTGCCTTTGATGACGCTTGTATGGGTTTTAGCAAGGTTTTTGATAATGCCCAGTGTGTCAGACTGAACACAAAAGTGAAGTCCAAGGGATTGGTGGGAAACTGGCAAGTTGGGATCCAAAACTGGCTCAGTGGCCAGAAGAGAAGGGTAATGGTCAAAGGTGTGTTTGTGACTGGAGTTCGTTCTATTAAAGTTTGAACAGGTAACTAAAATGATTAGATAATTCCCTTTATCGGTTCCTATAGAAAAATGATGCTGCAACTGTTCAAAACACTAACTGGACCACAAATAGAATTTTGCATTCATTTCCAATCACCACATTGTGGAAATATGTGATCACACTGGAGAGGGCACAGAGGAAGTTTATGAGGATGTCACCAGAAAACACAATTATTTTCTATGAAGAAAGATTACATTTGTTTTTATTGGAAGGCTAAGGGCAATTTGAAATGTATTAAGTTGACAAGGGGCCTAAATTATAAAACTTCATTTTTCCAAAATTTGAATGTTTGTACTGATGAGCTAAATAATTAAATGGAAAAATATGCCTGTGGATTGTTTGGCTAGATATAATTTAGGCTTGCTTGTGATGGCCTCTTATGGTTTTCCTTGTCCATAGTTCCATAAATACCATCAAATTATTTCCTCCAGTGTAGAAAATAAGGTTTAAAGATAATTGTAAACCAGCCAACGCAGCATCAGTGTCAACAGGAATAGCACCTACACTTTACAATGAACTTTTATACTGTCGTTTCCAACTGATCCATTGTATTAGTGTGATTGTGTGTATTTAATAACTGGTTCAAATCTGACTTCTGATCAATTATCTTTTCTATTCTAAGGCTATTTATGTTTATATGAACAAAGATGATTTCAGCATCATAAATTAATTCCCAGTAATATGCAGTTAGTTTTAGAATCAGAACAAATTCATAATTATGCTTCTTATTCAGTAAACATTGATTTTTCCAAGAATGGTATTGATCTATTATTGGCTTCATATTAAATCAAATAAATTTATTATGCTTAATTCGTATTTAATTGTCAAAAGCCAGAAATATAACATTTAATTTAATTTATTCAACTACCTGCATCTGGAATCAGCACTTGATCAATCAAGTGAATGACACCATTGCTTGTCACAATGTCTTTGCGATTGACCATCTTCTGCCCATTAACAGTAAGACTATCACCATCGCATCCAATCTCTATATTTGTTCCTTCTAAGGTAGTATAGGTGGATCCAGACATAATGGCTTCTGAACACTGAACAGAGTTGAGAATATGGTAGTTCAGCATAGCTGCAAGAAAATGACAGAAGATTAATGTGTACAAACTGATGATCAGATTCAACATTCTCCATTACAGGAATTTGCTTGAATTCAGCTGTGAATTTACATCACTGGTAGGAGTTGAAATTTGTGGCATGGGAGAGCCACAGCACTGTCAGGGAACTATGTAAATGGCTCTCTGCAGCACAAATCAAGAATGGGAAGAGTGATTGGGATATAGTTTGCTACTGGCTTGTTTCAGCACCAGAGGAGGGGAGAAGATTGAAACCCTGGACCTAAGTCCCAAGATGTCCTTGTATCTCAACACTTCAGGACATAAAAAGAACTTGGCTTGTTGGGCTGGCCGTGATCAGAATCATGGCTTCTACGGAGGGATCAAGAGTCTGTGGGATTTATAGTCAGGCCTGTGTAAAATGGTGTCATTGGAACACAACTTTGTCATTTAAAATTTGGAACTTGTTCCACTGAGTCAGCCAATTATCCCCGTGCCTGAATTCAGGCAGCTGAGAATATTGTGAATGGGATTGTAACCATCCATTTGCCTGTTACTGCTGAGAGGAAATGAGCAGAAAAGGTGCAATTAAAATCAGCAGACTTATTATTTAGACCACAACCAAAAAAATGGTATTAAATGTAAAATGCTCATTAACTGAACATTTCACGCACACATGCAACAAATCCCATTTTTAAATAATATCTAAGTAGCGGCCAAATTGGTGATTTCAGAAAGAATATGGGAGTGTTTTTAAGCATCAAATATAAAATTAAACTATTCCAACTGAAATAAAACTGAAAATTGAAATGAATGGAATTAAAATGAGAGAGGGATGTATAAATCACTTGGTAGATTTTGCCAATTCATTTGATTCAAATGATTTCTGTTTTTTATTGGGCGATTAAGAGTTAACTACCAGATTGAATTGTTGGGACTACAACTGTTCATGGAGTTACAGGCTTCCTAGGTTTAACAGGGGAGATGGAATGATGGCTGCCTATGAGTGATGGGGTGTGAATTATATTCTGCTCCAGATGTCTTCTCATCATGTGCAAAGGAAGTCTGTGAAAGGAAATACGTGACTGGACAGTGTTAACCATGAATGATTAAGGTATACTTTTAGTGATGTTGTACCAAACACAAGCAGAGGGATCAATTAACCATAGTTTAGAGAGGATATCTGCTACCATTTTGACTAAAAAAATTGTCTTCGATAAGCTCTGGAGATGGTGAATTCATGATGTCTGGAGGCAATTAATCATGAGCGAGTTTGACATGTTAGTAGTCCAAAAGAAGGAGAAAAACTCAATCTTTACTACCTCAACAATGTGGCGAGGATTTAATTTGAAGTGTATTGCTGACAGACATAGAAGGGAGGAGGCTGATTCAATCTGTTTCTGGCTCCATGTCCCTTCAACATTTCTTCAGATAGCCATCTTCTATGGCAACAGCTATTTCTCACCACCTCCAAAGGTGTGAGAGTGAACCTTTAGAAAACACTGATTTGGCCTCAACTTAAGCTTCTATTCAGTTCTGGGCACCACACTTCAGAAAAGAGTGCAGAAAACACTTACAAACTTGGTTCCAGGGATGTGATACTTCAGTCATGAGGATGGAATGGAGATGTGATTATTTTCCTTACAGAAGATTAAGTTAAGAGAAGATGCGCTGGAGATATTCAAAATCATAAGGGTTCTGGACAGAACCAATAAAGAAAAGAGTTGTCTTTTTTTAATTGTTCATGGGATATAGGTTTCACTGACTACCCATTCCTAATTGCCCTTGAGGAGGTGATGGTGAGCTGCCTTCTTGAACAGGTGCATTCCTTAGGGGTGCAGGTCACCCACAATGCTGTTCGGAAGGGAGCTCGCTGTTTTACAGCCAGAGAACCCTGGATATAAAGTGAACGAGAAAAGAACCAAAAATGACAAAGAGGAAATACTTCATTGCACTGCAAGTTGTTAGGGTCAATTACACATCATGAGTGCATCATTTGGTTTTAATCATGATTTTCAATAGGGAATTGCACAATTGTCAGAATAAAAAAATGCTGGGCTATAAGAAAAAGGGTAGGGGAGTAGGACTAGCTGAAATGCTCTCACAGAATTGAGCTGGATAAGGCAACCTCATTCTGTGTTGTGCACGATGTTATATTGCACTTCTCACAACCTCAAAAGCACTATACATGCAAAGAAGAGCTTTTGATGTACCCTTGGCAATGGAGGCATTCTCCCAGTCACATTACGTGATGGCAAACTGCTATAAGGCAGGAAATGCACAGCAAGCTCTCACTAACAGCAATGTAATTATAACCTGATAATTTGTTTTTGTGATATTGATTGAGAGATAAACATTGACCAGGCTAACGAGGATATCTCTGCTGCTCCTCTTTCATTAAATGCCATGGATCTTTTACAGCCAGCGACAGAGTCAATGTCTCACCCAAAAGACAGCACCAGTGAAACTGTGGTGATGTCAAGTGTGGGTAGGAACTCAACTGAGACAAGCAAAACATTCACCCAAATGTTTTTTTGGAGCTTCACTTAAGTGGGCACCGCACTTCCTCCGACAGCAGCTGGGAAAGAAAATCTAAGCATACGGAAAGACACAGAAATTGAGGGAGAAATCTTGTCAAAACTTTGGGCTTTATTTTGAATAAAGTAGATTTTTAACCATTGGATTTCAAAAAAGAAAATACATATTTCATGTGATGTCTAGAAATGCTCAACCACTAATAAGAAACATTTTTTAAATGCATCATTGAGGACATTCAATACTTTAAAAAAAACACAACAAAACCCTTGTGAAAAATTTGAATTTGTCTTGAATATCCTTTCTAAATGTCTAGTACATGCAAAGTTTTTTATTTGCAAAATTGCCAAAGATTATTCTGCCATTCTTTAAACGATGTGTTTACAAGCTATCATGACTGGATTTGTGATATTAATTAAAAAAAAACTCTTTGCAGACACAATCCTGGAGCCACATTGGGCCAAATCTTTGTTGCTGTAGGATGACATGTATGGTGTGAGTTAACAGCCTGTCTTAAACCTCTCCAGAATTTTATTTCATTAACCTCAATGGACAGCTGTCTCACTATCATTGACTTTACACTGTTGAACAAAGTCAAGATATTTGTTCTTGAGCCTATTTGGCCGATAAACAATTTTAACATACCTGAAATGCAAATACTGACACAAACCAAAGTAAATTGAGGAATGCAGGCATGGCATCTAACAAAAAGGAGGAATCCAAATGTTTGCTTTGAACTAAATGACCTTGCTGAGCCATTTATTGCATCGTGCAACATTTAACAAAGTACCTTTCAGTGCCACAGGGTCACTTAAGATGCGCTCCAGAAGGTCTCTTGAAAGTTTGCCAAAGGCTTCATTAGTAGGAGCAAAAACAGTGTAATGCCCATCTTTGCCTAGGACTTCAAGCAACCCTGAGGCAGTGGCAGCAGCCTGAAAGGAAAGCACATTAGATAATGTCCAATAAGTTACAGTTCTTGACATTTTAGTTTTCTAAAAATGAACAGACATCCTATTGTTTTAATGATCCATGGTTTACAAGTGAAGGGAGACAGTGGCATGGTGATTATTTTACTGGAATGATAATGCAGAGCTCCAGGCAAATAACTTGGGATGTGAGTTTGAATCCCATTATTGCAGATGGTGACAGCTGAATTCAATAAAAAATCTAGAATTAAGGAAGGAGATCTGCCATCATTACCCGGTCTGGTCTACATTTGACTCCAGACCCTTGCAATGTGGGTGACTTTTAACTGCTGTCTGAAATAGCCTGGAAGAGAATCAGTTCAAGGCCAACTAGGGATGGTAAAAATTGCCAACCTTGCCAGATATGGCCACATCCCATGAAAGAATAAAAAAAAAGGCACAACTGTGCAAATAAAAAAAATATTATTTTCAGCAGCTTAAACAGCCTCAAATCTTGTCCATTGAGCAATATGACAAAAAAGGCACCTCCAGAATGTGCTCCAATGTAAAGCTTGGTTCCAAACTATTCATCGAAAAACATAGGTGGTAAAATGATCATAGAATCCTTACAGTGTTTGAGCAGGCCATTCAGCCCATTGTGTCCACACTGACGCTCCAAAGAGCATCCCACTCAGACCCAACCTCCTAGCCTATCTCTGTAACCCTGCATTTCCCATGGCTAATCCACCTAATCTGCACAATCCTGGACACTATGGGCAATTTAGCATGGGCAATCTGCCTAACCTGCATATCACAGGGGATTTTTGATCTAGAGTTAGATGGTCACTTTTTAATTACATGATATCATTAAATGAGTTTTTTCTTGAGTTTTCTCTTGCAATTTACTTTTGTCATTTGTCTAAGACCAAAAGGAATTGAAATAATTAGGAGCACTAGCAAACTTTGAAAAGTCTGAAATGATGAAGACTGACATTTTAAATTGCTGTCAGTCTTTAGATACATTCTATATCTGAAAACCTCCCAATTATATATTATTTGAAAAAAAACTGAACGAACTGCAGATACTGAAATCAGCAACAGAAACAGAAATTGCTAGATAAACTCAGCAGGTCTGCCAGCACCAGTAGAGAGAAAGTAAAGTTAACGTTTTGGTCCAGTGACCCTCCTTCAGAACTCATGAGCTGTGAACTCATAACTAATTTGTTCATAAGACTGACTCCATACATGTGGTGTCAGCTTATTAAAATAGGCCAAATTTTCATGGTCATCTAATTGCCAGTTGTAATTTAGCCCAATAAGGATGTATAGGTATATGTGTTTATAAGTGGTGTTAGTGTCACATATGATCTCACTGGTAATTACATGATCTATTAATAGAATGGTCTATTTAACCTTATCCTATCATCAGTGAAATTAAGTTTCCATGTTGGAGAAACAAGCTACTCACAGGGACAAAAGCAATGCACTGAATGGGTCATTGTACGCATCAATAACACTGGCTCCAAATTGTACTGGAGTGTGATCCCAGCAGGCTTGCCAGGGAATACATATTGATAGAAATTGCTGGAGAAACTCAGCAGGTCTGACAGCATCTGTGCAGAATAGGCCAAATCTGAATTCTTCTTCTGAAGAACATTAACTCTGCTTTCTTTCAACAGAGCTGCCACACCTGCCAAAGAAACTGCTACCTTTATAGTTCCTTTCAGGCTTTCAGCTGATGATGAAATGATGCTAATTTTGTTGGGTTGAGGGTCATTTTCACATGCCATCTTTCATGCAGTAAATGATGGCATGCTGTGACTCAGGACATCTAAACAATTCTACTTTATATAGTTAGACAGGAGTCCACATCTTTTGCAATGCCATGGTGAGGTATGCTATCTTTGAGAATAGGAGGCTTTATCAGCAACAGCTGCCAAATTGAGAACTGCTACCACTCTCTGCAAAATATCGGAATGTGGTTGTGGACAACTTGCCTAACTGGCTAGCATCCTTACACTGGTTCTGCCTTCCTGTGAAGCTGTTCCTCAGCCTGGTAATAAACCCTGTAGAGCCAACTAAAGAAATGGAGGAAGGCATAAATAAATAGCTGCATCTGGCAGAATGACTCCTGAAAGTCTAGGTGCTTGCTGGAAACAGAAAGAAACCAAAAATGATCTTTATACAGCCCACTGCACTTGGTTTGATGTGGGCCAAGTCCAGCAGTGCAAAAGTGCTCCCAACACTTTGCCCTATGTCAGGTTTCATAAGGAAGCTGAAGGCTTGATGAGCAATATGCCTGGAGCCTGAAAACAGTATGCAGCACTTTTATGTGCCTTCTGAAAACACTCCTTAAGCTCCTACCTGCTTTGCAGTGGGCGCTTCAAATACCCAAACCAAATTCAACCCAAAAATTAAACCACACCTTAATTAAATGGAAAACTAAGTTCTGTCTGATTTTCATTACTTGACTTCCAGACATTGTTTTGGGAATGAGATCAAAATCACCTCCAATGTGTTCAATTACAATGTTATGTTGGCACTCACAATAACTCATTATAATGCACTTGATCATTAAATTTTTCAGGTAGAATATCAAGCATTTATAAAACAAATGCTTAAACCTAATAGTACTTCAATACTTTTGTATATGCCCAGCATCTTAAAATAAATATTTAGTTATTGTCAAATTCAATAATTGTTGATGTTTAAAGTGCTGATAATCAGATATCAGGAAGTCATCAGTTTATTGTATAATGTTGATGCTTCGTTATTTGTTGTACAGCAATTTACCCGGAGAGATGAAAGATCATCAGTTCCTTCAATGACATCCGCAATGGTGTTACCAACTGCTGTGATAACTCGGTCAATGACGTGCACAACACCATTGGTTGCAATTTGGTTTGCATAAAGCACTTTAGCACAGTTCACTGTAACAATCTGCAAAGGAACAAAGAAGAGAAATATGTTTTGTCTGGTTTTACCAATTGGTAGATTTTTTTTTAATGCACAGCTTTCAAACATCAAACACTTCACCTTAAGTTCCACAATTTCAAGACTGTTCCTAAAGCAATATTATAAATATTGCATCTCAAGAGGCAAAGCATAAGAAGAGTATTCTTCATTTATAACTTCAATCTTCTCCAACTGCATTCCTTCACCAACCTGCTTCTGTGGCGCTTACCTATCATCATTTTATTTCAACCTGTCTCATTGTAGCCAACTCTGAATCTGAAGTGCCTTCTCCTTCCATACCCATATAGATTTTGGCCATTCTTCACCTAATCTGCATGTTTCCCCATTGTAACATCATTCAATGGTACTGGCTATATTACTGCATGAGTAATCCAGAGGCCTGGATTAATGCTTCAGATAAATGTAAATTCAAAGCCTCTGCTTCATAACTCTTCCCCCACTCCCTTCCACCACGAATCCTCATGGCAGTTTCAGAATTTGAATTTAGTATTCTAAAAGAAGGTAAATCGAAGAGCAAGTATTGTTAAAACAACTGCAGAACTTAAAGAAAAGGGTCAATAGTCTTTGGAGAAGGTAACTTCATTTCATCTCTTTGCACCCTCCACTCAATCACCATCATTCATCACTCCCTCTCCCAGGTAAGGGCAGAAAGTTATGTTTCTTTAATGAGAGAGCTTCAGTGGTCTCCCTGATGCAACCGTGGATGTTAAGTTGAAAAATATTACTGTTATAACCAGCTCCAGCTAGAAGGCACCAAAGTCAAAGTTCATTACCATGTTTACCTTTGTCTTCCATGACAATGTGACCCTTTCTCTGCTGTGAGGTTGGGCTTGTGGCTGCAGAATTGTCAGACTTCAGTGCTAAGCTCCTTAGTGAAGCACTGGCAGCTCAGACGTTAGTCATTGCTGAGGCTCAGGTAGGAGAATTGCAGAGAACCTGCACCCATTCTGCTCCCCCTCCTCCCACTTCCTGCTCTGTGTGATCCTGGTTCTGAGCATTCCCATGATGCATAATACTTCACTCATATCTGGGAGCAAGTGGTTTGTGTGGAAGTTTTGAAGTCAACAAAACATACTTTAGCACTTGCCATGCCACTCCCAGTATGCTTTCGAAGCTTGGAAGAATCATGGAAAAAACTAAAACTGTAGAATTATAACCACAGTCAAAATCAGACAGTATCCATCAGAGCTCTGACTCCCATACACTAAGGACAAACATGCTTCAAAAGTGGTGAGTGATGTAAAATGGAGTAAAAGCCTCCAACCTACCCCATTTGAATAATGATTGATTAAAATAGGCAAGTCATTGTACATTGATTGTGCAGTCATTCCATCTTTCATATCCTTTGTCAATAAGCGATAGTTCAGCATATGGTAATGCAAAGCATTGAGGAGTTCAATGTTCACATTGCTTAACAGTGCATCACGAATCTCCTGTCAGGGGAAAATCAAATAATATCAGTTATTTAATCAGTTCTTTGTGCCTCCTATTTAAAATATTACCTAGAAATTTTTATTATAGCTAAGATTATAATTTCAAGGATGAATTAATGCCACAAAATATCAGTGCGTTTGTGGACCTTATCAACATCTATTAATAAATGTTAAGAACAGTCATGGATGGAGAAACATTTTTTACATATGCCAAAGAAGTTGTTTATGAATTTAGTTTACTTTAGTATTACATCTAATCCTGATGTATTGGACCTGGTTGTTTCGCTTCCTTCCAGGATTCCAGGATATCTTTCACAAAAATTAACAAGCAGCTAATTGAATCACACTCTGATCAAGCTTATATTTTAATTCAGTAGGTTTGAAATTTCCTTTTAAAAACAAATCATTTTAACTCTAAGGGGAGATTTTCTGATGTCGGATACTCACATTATGATGTGACTGACAACTCACCTATTGATGATTGCCATCAGCCCCAGTAGTGGAATTCAAATCACAGCCACAGCTGTTCAAATTGACTGACTACAGATAACTTGTGCTATCTTTACACAACTCTCCCAGTCTTACAGCCTATTGAAAAGGGGTGCCTTTCCGGCACATATTTTATCAACAACTTACAGCATCCAGCAGCATCCAAGCTTCGTCACTTGGTGCAAAGAAGGTGAAAGATCCGACTCCTTCAATCTCTTGCCTTAGTTGAGATCTGTCTGCATAATTCTGTGTACTTCTAGCACCCACAATACCCAAAGTACCATAGACATGATCAATCGGAGCAACTAAAACAGAAAAACAAGGAAGCATTTTACTCAAGTCTGATCTTCATATGAAAGATTCACCACAAACACAATGTAAACCTTTGAAATTCTGCATGTTGAAATAATGATAATCGATCTTAGCAACAAACTATTATAGTGCATGGAAACAGACCCTTTGGTCCAACTTGCCCATGTTAACCAAATATCCTAAAAAATCCGGTCCCATTTGCCAGCATTTGGCCCATATCCCTCTAAACCTATTCATGTACCCATCCAGATGCCTATTAAATGTTGTAATTGTACTAGCCTCCACCACTTCCTCTGGCAGCTCGTTCCATACATAAACCAGACTCTGCGTGAAAAAGTTGCCCCTTAAGTCCGTTTTAAATCTTTCCCCTCTCACTTTATATCTATGCCCTCTAGTTTTGGACTCGCCCACTTCGGGGAAAAGACCTCATCTATTTATCCTGTCCATGCCCCTCATGATTTTATAAACCTCTACAAGGTCACCCCTCAGCCTCCAATGTTCCAGGGAAAATAGCCCAGTCTATTCAGCCTCTTCCTATAACTCAAACCCTCCAACCCTGGCAACATCCTTGTGAATTTTTTCTGCACCCTTTCAAGTTTCACAACATCCTTCCTATAACAGGGAGACAAGAAATGTACACAGTATTCCAACTGTGGCCTAACCAAGTTCCTTTACAGCCACAACATGACCTCCGATGTTGCACTCAACTACATTAATGGTATAAATTGTCATCCTATCACCACTTCCATTATGGACATTCCCAGTAACCATGCTCAGAAGAAATTAGACAACTGTTATAAAATTAAATTTGGAAAAGAAATGACATTTATGTATTTATGATGAGCAGTGCATTCTATTGTCACCATTGTAAAGTGTGGTCAGGTGAGTACCTTTCAAAGGTCTCTTAAAATGTTATTGATTTAAACTACTTAAATTAAATCGCATTACTGTATTGTAAAATGTAATTCCGAACACTTTGCAACTTCAGTGGGCAACAATGATTAATTTATTACTTCATTCACATTAGATCAAAGGTATCTATTCTGGGATGAAGTCTGGTGGTGCAGTGGGTGGCATCCTTGTCTCTGAGGCACATGTTCCAGTTTCAGTCCATTCACCAGGAAATTCATAATGCAGCCGAGCAGGCTGAATGTCAACTTGCAAATCTTTCTAAAATACAGCAATGACAAGCAGTCAGAGTGAGAAAGAATCTCGATCAATCATGTGAAGAAGATAATCTTCGAGACTCTGTGGTGTCTATTCTTAGGTCCAGCATGCAGGTAAAAAGTGCATATTGACACAAGTAACTCAGACTCCTTGAGTGAACTAAACCATACCATCTATTGTGGGAGTAGGCTCTCCCAACTGTAACTTGACTCTTCTTCTACTCAGACTTTGTTACAACCACGAGCATTCTATTAAAAAATTATATCTGAGGGTAAAAATCTTTTGAAACAATTCAAACCTTATTTGAATAATGATTTAAAAATGCTTTCAAATGTTAACATTTCATGTACAAATAAATAGCCCAAAATATTCATGCTGGAGGATGAAGATGAAAACTTTAAAAAAAGGGATATTTTTTAGCAGTGCTGCATAAACTAACAGATTCCTACTGGTTGCATAGAACTGATCAACTGGTTAGAATTTTTCAAATTATGTTTAATAGATTGGTTAAACATTATTGAACACAGGGTGAAATGCTCTCTAACTACTGTTGTACAATGACAAACAAATGCTCAATGATTTATGTGACAACTCAAGACTTCTAAGAGCTCTTTAACTCATTAACTGCATGATATAGGTCTCCTGATGGCTCATCAGGTTTACCTGAGAATTTACTGCACCATGCAGAATAGGAAGGCTACCAATGCTGAACATGCTGATTCCAAGTAGACTATCAACAAGAGTATTAAAATTACTTTCAGCAGTTCTGGATAAGTACAGCAGGGAGCAAAAATACTGCAATTATCCTCAGCCTCACTGTGTCCACAGGAACTGCAGCTCTATAATTATTTCCAGTACCTTGAGATGGAGAAGGTGGGGGCGATTACTAAGGAAACTACAGTTACCTTCATTCAGGATGGATGGATGGATACATGAAAATTAGTCACGTACTCATTATGAGTCTAGTTGAAAAGTAAAGTTTATGTGGTAGTTGATTATCTTCAGGACCCGACTTTGGTATTCCAGATTACAGCAGCTTTCTTCAATACAATACATAATTCATAAGAGTAACCTTCAATAATAAAGGAACCAAATACTTATATGCTGCATTACTGAAGCATTGTTACTTACTAATTACTAGATAAATCAATAGTTATGTCAACTGAAAAATCAAACTCTATTGTCACGTTTAAGCTGCGTGTTGCTTTCTAATATTCTTCTGGGGCTTTTACGAAGAAAAAGCTCCATCTAAGATGTCATCCCCACTGTACAAATTGCTAATATTGATTCGAATTTGCTTGAAATAAACCTAATGCTTCGCACCAGGAAAATTAAATTCAGTTTCCGTTACGTGTATTATTTCTTCATTGCTATGCCTAGGGCATTGCTGCAAAATCTATCACCAAACCAGCATTTAGGATTCCTGGATTATCTGCTAAATTGCATCCTCTACAGGCAGGTCTTCAGGCTCGGAGCAGATGGTGGAGATACCATTGCAAGCAACGAGAAAACAATTGGCATAAATAATAAAATCAAAGTCCTGATTTCTTAGCAAGTCTACTGTATGCAATCATTAAAGTGGCACCTAATCCAATGGTAAAAATGATTAATTCCTGATATCTCAATTACCTGCTGGGCACCCATGCCCTCCCTCAAGCCTCATGTATCCTGGGCAGCATTCATACAGCACCAACCTGTAGTCAAAACAAATGAAAATAAACATATAGTTTAGCTGCAAAAATAACCTAGTTGGAGATATGTACTGAGGAAAACAAGTCTCTAAGAGATGGGTTATGATTAAATTGTTCAGAACTCTCAACATACAGAAATATGCAATTCTTTGTGACTGCTTGTTCTGTTCAAAAACTTAATTGATCATTGTGAGAATGTGTGTTCAAATTGAAATGGAGTCATAACTGACCCCAAGCTGAGTTTCCAATCTCTTCATCACTAAGACACTCATTTTCACTTCTGTAACATTGCCCAAGCTCACCCCTGCCTCAACTAGTCTGCTGCTGAAACCCTCATTCATCCCTTTGTTTTCCCTCAATTTGACTATTCAACACACGCCTGGTTGGTCTCCCACATTCTACCTTACCCACACGTTATCCAAGTTACTGTTGCCTGTGACTTATTTTGCACCAAACCCCATTCACCTGGTACCCATGTGCTAGCTGTCCTCCTGTACTTTCTACTAAGCAATGCCTTGAGTTTAAAGCTCTTGTCTTCGTCTTCAAATTCAATTTGGCCTTGCTCCTCCCTATCCCTGTAATCTCCTCTAGCCCTACAACTTTATGAGTCACCTTCACAAAATCTAGACACTGATTTGTATTATCTTATTTTTTATTAACTCAACTCACATTCTAATCTGTAGGACTGTCACATATCATCTCTTCAGTAGGCAATAAACTCCCCCTTTCTTTAACTCAAGAAAGCCTGATTAATTTGTTTCTTTTTAAAATATAAATACATTTGGGTTGGGAAAAAAACATCCACAAGGAAAGGGATTCTTTTTTAACTAATCCTGTTGCAACAAACTGAATAAGGGAGTGAATTAAGGGGGCCAATTCATCCTTCCTGACCTGGGTGCATAACCATTTGGGGATATCCCATCCGGAGCTGCAATGATTTAGGGATCCTTGCTAGGGGACTGGTCATAAGGCTTCAACAGCAATATCTATCACTTCCACCAAGGGGCAGTATGGTGGCTCAGTGATTAGCACTGCTACCTCACAGCACCAGGGACCCAGGTTCAATTCCACCCTTGGGTGACTGTCTATGTGGAGTTTGCACATTCTCCCCATGCCTGCATGGGTTTCCTTTGGGTGCTTCAGTTTCCTCCCACAGTCCAAAGATGTGTAGGTAAGGTGGATTGGCCATGCTAAATTGCCTGTAGTGTTCAGGGATGTGTGGGTTATGGGGGGTGGGATGCTCCAAGGGTTGGTGTGGACTTGTTGGGCCAAAGGGCCTGCTTCCACACTGTAGGGATTCTATGATCTGACTTAATCTCTAAGTCTATATTTGATGCTGTGTCTTATCACTCCGGAGAAACACCATGGGACATTTAAGTAATGTTGTTCTTTGCACAGCTCACTGATGCCAACACTTCAACAGAACAATGTTTTAAGTGAAACATGCCTGCATTACAAGCAAGAAATGTATCTTTTTATTCATACAAATCTTGTCATTTACAAATTGTAAGGGATAGGATTCAGATTTGGTAGGTCTCAAAATGGACAGTTATGAATCAGCTTCTTTTCCACTGTTTTAGAGAATTGACTGGGTAAAGGGGATCTGCAGTACTAGATTAATTTAATCCCTATAATTGTAAAGATATGTGTTGTTCACTGTAATGCAGATCATGATTTGGCATAGTTGATATGGGCAAAGTTGTTAGGAAATTCTAATAGTTTCACATTAAATAGTTTACCCAGTTTTTAAATGTTACTGATACTCAGCTAAATACCTACCAATATAGCAAAACATAAACTGACTTAAGAATCAAAACAGATTATGACCAGCCCAAGATTAACATGACTCAACGTGACGTAATTGCTCTATGTATCCAAATTTTATTTCACTAATGGTCCTCAGTAGACCCATTGTTTGTGAAATGCAGGTGCAGTAACAGTACTGGGGCCAGTTCTACACATATGCTTCCCTTACATCAAGTTATTTTTTCTCACTGGTAGTTCATAACCTGATATTATAAACATGTTATTGAATCATACAATAGTTACAGTGCGGAAGGAAGTCATTCAGCCCATTGTTTCGATGACACATCTCTACAAAACAACTCAGCTACTTCCATTTCCCTGTCCTTTCCCCGTAGACCTGCCAACATTATCTCTTCAAGCATTTATTACATTACCTTTTGAAAGCCATTATTGATTCTGCCTCCATCACATTCCCAGGCAGTGCTTTCCAGATACTATCCACTTGCTGCTTAAATTTGTTTTTTTTAACTCAGGATGATTTTGCTTCTTTTGTTATTAACCTTAATCAATGCTATATGGTACTCAACACTTCTGCCTTTTGGAACAGTTTCCCCCTTCCATTCTGTTCAGACTCCTCCGGACTTAAAAAGTTGCTATCAAAAGTTTTCTCAACCTTTTCTTCTCCAAGGGCAACTCCCCAATTTCTCCTTTCTATCCATATAACTAAAGCTCCATGTCCCTGGATCCATTCTTGTCAATCTTTCCAATGCCTTCCCGTCCTTTTAAAAATGCCCAGACGCAAACACTATACTCCAGCCGAAGCCCTACTAAAGTGTTATAATAGATTATCGTAACTTCCTTGCTCTTACACTCTATACTTTTTTTCATAAAAACAGGATCCTTCTATGCCTTCATAGAATCCCCACGGTTTGGAAACAGGCCATTCAGTCCAACAAGTCCACACCAACCCTCTGAAGAGCATCTCACCCAGACCCATCTGCCTAACCCTGCATTTCCCATGGCTAGTGCACATAACCTACACATCCCTAAACACAATGGGTAATTTAGCATGGCCAATCCACTTAACTTGCACATCTCTGGACTGTGAGAGGAAACCTCACACAGACACAGGGAGAACATACAAACTCCACACAGTCACCTGAGGCTGGAATCAAACCCAGGTACCTGGCCCTGTGAGGCAGCAGTGCTAACCACTGAGCCACCGTGCCTATTAACCATTCTTATTTCATGGATTTCAACTTTGCTGTCAAGCCTGTCCTGTAGCACTTTACCAAACAGCTTTTGGAAGGCCCATCAGCACCACATCAACTGTATCATCCTCATAAGCCCTTCCCTTTAGTTCACCTTAAACTTTAGGTTAATTAAAAATCAGGTTAATTAAAAACAAACTACTGGTTTTATATAATTAATCTACATTTTCCCAAGTGACAGTTAATTTTGTCTTGGATTATCATTTATAAAAACTTTCCCATCACTAGGGTTAAAGTGTAATTTATTCTTGTACATTTATTTGCACAACGTTTCATTATTTGCAATTCTCAGTTCACTGCATCACCCTTCTATCAAAGGAAGATTGGAAGTCTATGCAGTGGCTCTGTGATTTCTACCGTATTTCCCCCAGTATTTATGTTGCTGCTCGTGTGTTTCTGGTGATCTATCAACATCATAGAGCCAGATATTCTAATATATTATCTTTAATTAATCCGTTTCAATTACCTCCTCTTTCACTATAACTTCAGCAGTACCTTCTTCCTTGGTAAAGACAGATGCAAGATATTCTTCGAGAAGCTCAGCTATGCCCTCTCCTGTCATGCATTAATCCCCTTTTAGGTCTCTGAAAATCAACCCTGTCCTGCTTTTTACTCTTTATAAGTCAATAGAAAACCTTTTTGTTTTATTTCCCTCCTTGCTATATTCAGCCTGGTTCTCACAAGGATTACCAACTTTATTTCTGCCATATGCATCTTTTTCTTGATTCACTTAATTTCTGCACCTTTCATCATGCAGGGAACCCTGGTTTTGTTTTTTTTTAAGCTTTTCTGGCCGTTCATGTTAATTGTGTGGAAACTGTCTGGAACATGCTCACCATTTCCCAGGGTAGCCTCTTGGCAGGGAAAAATGTGTCCCTCAAGACCATGCGATTCTCCTCAATTGATAGACAGGATTTAGTCAGCCAGTTTCCACTCACGGCTTGCTGAGCCAAAGGATATTGTGACAGCTATAGTCTGTGTTGCTCTCTCTCTGCAAGGCAGACCTTAGTAGAACTATGTCAGAGAAGCATCTGGCTTCTACTTTGGAACTGTTCAGCACGTTGTGTGAAATCTGGAACTCATTGCGAAAGACAACACAGATATGGGCAAGTAATCCATCTAATGGTACTGCAGTGTTTTGAGCCCTGTTAAAGTTGACCTCACAAAAGATGCTGCCTGAGATATCAGCTTTCCACTAAAAGTTAATAAATTAGGCAGCTGCAAAATGTAAAAGGACAAGATTTCCTCTGGTTTCCATGTGTGACCCAAAACATAAACACGGCAAGAAGGTCTCCCAAGTTTATTTGCTTCAGTAAAATAATTCTAAATTTAATTATTAGAAACAGCAAACCGATAAACAATTGCCCATGATGTCGATGATCCCACCAGCATGGAGACAGAACTCACCCTTGCTGATAACCCATGTGCACATTTTACAGAATATGATTTATTTATTCTAAAATCAATACATCTGGTAGCTATAAAGCATTCAATGCATTAGCTACTGCCAAAGAAAGAGCAATTGAGCCATTGCATTGAACCATTTGAGCCATATAGCAAATAGAAGTGTGTATTATGTCTACCAAAGAAAGCCAGACAGGATTTCTTTGAACAGACATCAGATAGCACGTCTACTGATTGAAGCCATTTGGAATTAACAATGAAAGCCTTAAGTCAACGAACTGCAGGATCCTCAGGTCCACTTTGACAGCACCTGGCCTGTTTACACACGCCTGTGAATCATGTTACATTGCTGCGAAGCAAAATGAAACCCATTCCATGCAGGTGGGAATTTGTGCTGCACAACAAAGTCAAATCAGGCCACTTTTAATTGCTGTATGCATGAGGCCATGCCTAATTCAGAACAGCTGCTAACCTGATGAAGAAAAAGAGGCAGCTGCTAGGTAACCACCATAGGAGACAAAACGATTTTACTGCTGAATGAAGTGATGTAAAGAAAGATCAACCTTAAAGTGTGCAAACAAA